GTGCTGTCGCTACGCGTTATTAGCTGAGACCAATACCAATACGGTTTTTCAGCAATAAGAGCGAACCTTTATGGATAGCTACTCCAACGAAAAGAACTTCTAAGGTCTTCACATATTTTTTGAATTCTTGAACCTTCACTGACATTGCTGGTGACGTCCAGTGACAGCGTCGACCTCATGTTGAGCACAACGGCGCAGGGCGATGTTAGTGCTTACAATGAAAGTGCTACTAAACAAAACTATGGCTCAGTGGTCCAAATTCGGTCGCACTGGGCCTCAGTCTGCCCTTTGTCTCACAGGACAATCTCGAAACGACAGCTCGCAGCTTACTTCACAAAGATATCAATGTATGGGGGAATTACGCACCGAAACAAGTCGGCGAAGTCAAATGCGCGAGGCATGCACATCACACGCATGACCTGGATGGGACCGAATTTTCACGAGAATACCCTATGTGGGCTAGCGGGTCAGAACTACGCGTATGTACCGCTGGACGTACCGTGAGTAAAAAGCCATACAGGAAGCTGGCAGTACTACTATGGCTAAAAAAGGGCTTTATATAATGCAAAAAGAAACGGGAGAAACGTTGAAAAATGAGAACCCAATCCCACCCGTCATTCGAATAACGGCTTTCCGAAACTTCACAAGGCACCCAGCTAGAACAAGAATCCATCATCACGGTGGTCAGACGAAAAACAAGTAATTCATCAAGAGCCATGTGATATGAAGATCCCTGGCGTAGCGAACAGGTCAACAATAATCAGACGGTCAACGACTCATCTCGAAAAAGAACCAAACGGAGAGCACGGTTGGAATCCGGTCCAGTGGGCCAATAGAAGTGGATTATCGGAAATCTGGCTGCTCTGCTGCACTTCAGGGCTAAAGTGACCCAACCGGTGATAAACAGGAAAAGCAAACGTCTCAAGATGTGTGCTCTAACGGAACGGCTCTGGAGGCGATTCTCTTGAGTTTTCGGGATTTTCTGGCTTATTATTATCGGAGAGACTGCGACAGTATACTGATAAGGTCTGCGGCACATGATAAAAGGTCATGCTCAACGACGTTGTCCACTCTTTCTTCCTTACTCTGCACATCTATAATTGTTTATCGATGCACGTAACACACATTATTTGTCTACTAAATATTTATATAACCCAGAAATCTTGCAAAATAAGGGCATAATTAAAGTTTTATTTATTCCGCTACTGCTTATTTATTCATTTATCTTTGTTAACTTATCGCGTAACTAAAGACAATACTGGATCGCTCCGAAAAGGGGACTGTAACACTGGTGCAAAGTTTTGAATGAGTGTATGCGTAGGAGCAGGCACAACAGCACAG